AAGCCTTTACATAGCACTTTTATGTCAGCCACTGTGCTAAGTGCTTTACCGAGGTGAGCTCATTTAATCTGTTTAACCCTTTGAAGTAGTTACTATTATTCTCCCCTTTGACAGACCAGGAGGCCAAGGCACCAAGAAGTACAGAAATGTGCCCAAGGTCACACAGTTCATAAGAAAAAAAAAAAATCACTGGGAATGGTGGCTCACACCTGTAATCCCAGCACTTTGGAAGGCTGAGGTGAGAGGACTGTCTGAGCCCACAGGTTTGAGACCAGCCCGAGCAACATGGCGAGCTCACATCTCTACAATAAATCAAAAAATTAGCCAAGCAGGGTGGTGTGTGCCTCTGTGGTTTGGAAACTATTTGGAAGACTGGGACAGAAAGATCGCCTGAGCCCAGCAGGCTGAAGCTGCAGTGGCCATGAGCATGCCACTGCACTCCAGCCTGGGCGACAGAGTGAGACTCCGACTTAAAAAAAGAAAGAAAAAATCTCCCCCAAATTAGTAGTGTAAACCCTTGAATATAACTCTCACGAAGACAAGGGAGTTCTATCTGCTCAGAGAACATCATGACTCTTATCTTCTTAAATGTATTTCTATAAACATGCCACTTGGGCTTTATAGGGCTACGATATTCTCGTTGCACACCAATACGGGTGGTAGGAATAGATTAGGATGCATGAAAAAGTGCATCACTACTATTATATCGCCATAAATCTGTGAGCAAGACATTCCTCTTACCTCTGGGGGGGGGGGGTCGCCCAGATGTCCTTTCACTTTCTGACACAAGTCTCAGGAGCTCTGAGCAGTCCTGGAATGTTGATTGAAATTATACCAGACCACAGGTCACAGCTTGCACCTTACCTGGTCCCCGCCACATTTTTATTAAAATGTCAGTGGTTTTACTTTTTCATATTCATGGTCACATTCCTGAAAGTAGAGCCCCTCTCTGTTTTACAGCCTGCTGTCCTGTGAAAGTGTGAATGTGTGTGTGTATAACAGAATGTGTGCTATGCCCGTGTGGGCTTTGAAAGAGCAGTGGCAACCCAGACCGGCGGCTTCAAGGATTTTCTGTTAATAAGCCCTGAATCTTCATCCAGCTCTAGCAGTATCCTGCTAAAAACAGACTGAGGTCATTCATGTATAAATGGAAACATACCAAGAAAAAAATGAATACCAAATGTACATCACGATCAAAAGAAAAAATAAATTTCTCAATGGGATACTCAGAGCTATGCAGAGACCATTGGTTACTACTGCTTCACATAAAATTGAAGGGCAGAGCATGTTTCAGTAAGGTTCTTAAAAAGGCATGGAACAACCAGAGGCTATGATTTGAGATTCCTACAAGGATGATTTCCCCAAAATCCTGCTGAATCCTGAGGGAATATGTCCCCCTCCTCGAAACTGTAATAAATGCCGGAAAAAAAAAAAACTGTAGCGAACTTAGTAGCAACAAAATATTTAATCACATTATAATTTGATGAATTTCCAAAATAAAAAATATACAGACACATCAGAACAAATCATTCTCCAGATGATCATTTATATATTCAATCATGCATTCATTCGGAGAATAGTTATTGAACACCTAGTAAGTGCTAGGGTGAATTCTGAAAAAAGAACAGTACAGGAAGCTGGCAAAGGATAGGATTGGAAGTTAGAGAGACTCGGCTTAAATATCTGCTTCACCACTTACAAACTGAGTGACGTTCAGTAAAGGAGTAAACTTTCCTCAGCCTCTGATTTTACATCTGTAAGATGATGACCATTATACTTGCCTTGCAGGGTTGTATGGTCTGAAGGAACCAATATATATGAGACTAAATATATATGTAATATCTATATCTATATCTATCTATCTATCTGTCTGTCTACATATTAGCCCAGTGCCTGGCACACAGTAAATGTTCTAAGGAAAAGGGAGAGCCGGAGAGGTGGTACTCCAACAATTTGTACTGCCTGAACTCAGAGATACTAGGGTATCTTTTCCCCACTTTTTCTAATTCATACCATCAAAAATGTGTCTAGGCCAGGCATGATGTCTACTTGAGTCCAGGAATTCGAGAATAGCCGGGACAACATAGCAAGACCTTGTCTCCACAAAAAAATTTAAAAAATAGCTGGGTATGGTGGTGTGTGCCTCGGGTGGCTGAGGCAGAAGGATTGCCTGAGTCCAGGAGGTCAAGATTGCAGTGAGCTGTGATCATGCCACTGCACTCCAGCCTGGACGACAGTGAGACCCCATCTAAAAACAACAACCAGAAATGGGCCTAGTAGTCAAGGAGAAGGGCCACCAGAAGTAACCCTGCAGAAGCAGGCTTTAGAAGACAAGGCCACCACTTGAGAAGGGAGGGAAAGCCTGGTTAGGATGTCAAGGCTGGCTTCATCCTTGCTGTCCCTTCTCTCCCCGAGACCAGGTAGGGGAATAGCTTCCCCTTATCTCTGTAGGGAGGGGAACCCATGGACACTTCTGGACATCCAGAAGCCTCTGGCTCAATGGGCTGTCTGGTTCCCTGACACACTCACACCTGCTTCCTGGTGGAAGGCACTAAAAACTCATGAGAGGTGTCCACAGAGAGGCCTAGGGTTGGCCCTCTAAGGCGAACAGGAGTCAGGGAAGACGTGTGGCTGTGGTTTTGTGAGTATGTGACTTAGAACACTGCTGCTGGCTAGGGGGCCACAAAGAGTGGGAAAGGGACTCAGAGATAGAGTTGCCACATTTAACAAATAAGAATGCAGGACACTGGACTAAATTTGAATTTCATGTAAACAAAAAATCATGTTTTAATATATGCCACACGCAATATTGGGGATATACTTATACTAAAACATTATTCATTGCTTATCCGGAATTCAAGTTTTTTGTTTTGTTTTTGAGTTGGAGTCTCATTCCGTCGCCCAGGCTGGAGTGCAGTGTCACACTCATGGCCACCCCAGCATTGATCTGCTGGGCTCCGGCGATCCTTCTGCCTCAGCCTTCCAAGTAGCTGGAACTACAGACTTATGCTACCATGCCTAGCTAATTTTTTATTTATTGTAGAGATGAGGTCTCACCAAGTTGCCCGGGCTGGTCTCAAACCTATGGGTTCAGGCAATCCACTTGCCTCGGTCTCCCAAAGTGCTGGGATTACAGGCTGAGCCACTGAGCCCGGTCTGAAATTCAAGTTTTATTTATTTATTTTAGTATTATTATTTTTTTGAGTTGGAGTCTCAATCTGTCATCCAGACTGGAGTGCAGTGGCCACTCCTGGCCACCGCAGCCTTGACCTGCTGGGCTCCGGCGATTCTTCCACCTCAGCCTTCCAAGCAGCCGGAACTACAGGCACACGCTACCACGCCCGGCTAATTTTTGATTTATTGTAGAGATGAGGTCTCGCCAAGTTGCCCAGGTGGTTCTCGAACCCGCGGGCTCAGGCAATCCACTCACCTCAGCCTCCCAAAGGCACGGGATTACAGGCTGAGCCACTGAGCCCGGCTTGAAATTCAAGTTTTAAGTGAATGTTCTGCATTTTGTCTGGCAACCATACTCAGAAAAGAAATCAGAAAAACATTTCCCATTTTCCTTTGCTTCTGTGTGAGACCAGATAGGACACGGTATCCCTGAATCGTCCATCTTCCTGCTGTTCTACAAGTGCACCCCATAAAGATGAAGCCTACAGCCCAGTCACTTTGAAGACACATTGAGACAGAACCTCCATTGTGTAGGGCATGGTGCTGGTTGCTAGGAATAGGGATGTACAATGGTCCCTAACGTAAGGACCCACTCACTCATAGAGGACCAAAATTCAATGGGACAATAATCACAAAAATTACAGCCACAACTGTTAATATTGATTGAGTGCTTATTGAGTATTGTTCTAATCACTTTGCATATTACTTTATTGAAATATAACTACCCTGTGAGGTAGATTTTACTATTACCTCCAGTTTACATATAAGGAAGCTGAACCTTGTAAGGTAATCATATAATCTTTTTTTTTTTTTTTGAGTTGGAGTCTCACTCCATCGCCCACTCAGACTGGAGCACAGTGGCACACTCATGGCCACCACAGCCTAGATTTGCTGGGTTCCGGCGATCCTTCCGCTTCCAAGTAACTGGAACTACAGGCGCGCGCTACCACGCTTGGTTAATTTTTGATTTATTGCACAGATGAGGTCTCGCCAAGTCGACCGGGCGGGTCTTGAAACTGCGGGCTCAGGCAATCCACTCTCCTCGGCCTCTCAAAGCACTGGGATTACAGGCTGAGCCACCGAGCCCAGCCGGTAATCATATAATCTTTTACCAGTATTGAAATATGTTTTAAAGCGAAAAGGAGCATGATCCCTCACTACATAGGATAACAGGTGTCATCTGAAACTGCCCTGGCACACTGGGATTATGGCATTCTACGTCCAGGAGCCATGCTTGGGTCTCATTGGTAGAAAATGGCAGTGGGTGGATTTGAACCCTGGTAGAATGGCTCCAGAACTCATTCCATTAACCAGGAACAGTAGAGGAGGAGACTGAATCACACACACTTCCCTTTCATTAGACGCTAAGCATCACAACGATGGGGCCTCCCGTTTTGCTCCTCACTGTGTCCTTGACACCCACGCCCTAATACCCAAGCATAGAGTGGGTGCCCAAAAGCACTTGTTGAGCAAATAAATCTGGGAAGCCTTTAGGGAGAGGATGGGATAAGAACATGGAGAGGACTTGGCAGGGACTCTTTCTCTTCCTTGATCAGTCCTTTCTTGATGCTTGAGGCAAAATGAGTGAACTCAGCAGGTGATTGCAAACCAGTTGCTGGGACACAAAGTGATGTCTGTATGGGAGACTAATGAAAGGCTCTGTTGGCCCTGGGCCTACTCTTTCACATGGATACTCAGGCGCCCACAGCCTGCCCTCTCCAGTCCAGATTCTGTAGATTGAGAACCCATCACGTAGATTGAGGACCCTGACCAGTCAACTGCTTTCTGTTGGGTCCTGTTAAACCAGTGGTACCCTGTCCTCTCAGTGGAGCTGATCTCCCCGGGAAATTCCCCCATCTCCTCAACCAGCTCAGGCCTGCTTTCCTCTACGTTCCCAGCAGAGCCCCTAGCCCAAAGCCACCCTGTCCCAGACACTCTGAACGTAGCCTCAGAGCCTGCTGACCTTCATCTCGTCTGCAAATGTAAGCCTAGAACAACCTATGGAAAGCCTATACCCTCTTTAAACAGGAATTATGAAATCTTTAAAACAATAAACTCCTCTTCCTTGCTGAAGATGTAGCTATTTACTATGCAAGAAGAGAAAGCAAATTTATAGAGGGGAGAGACAGCCTCTGGCAGCTGACTCCCTTTCCTCTCTCTCCAGAAAGATATCATTAAGCCCAGTGACTCCTGCCTGACAGCTGTAGAATAAAGAAGAAACGACTCTCCATGACATTTTTGTTCTACCCGCAATTTAACTGCATGTAATTGAACTAACTAGACTGTAAGCTGAGGTTATGGGCAATGTCTTATAAGTATAAGCTACTTCTTTGAATCCTGAAAGTCTAGCACAGTGTTTCACATGTGGAGATCTGACTGACATAATTTATTTGATTTGATTGCTAAGGGTGTGTCTAAGCGTAAATACCCGAAATTACGACACCAAGGTCTTAGTCAGTCTGTGGCAGAAAGAGGCCTACCAGGTGCTTAAACCCTAATCCTGAAAATTAGAAAGGAGGAAACCTTAATCACTTTTCAAAGTACTCCTGTCCCCTCTCCTCAGTCTCTCTCCAACTCTAGGGCCTTGCTGATGTGCAGGTGCGGCTGGGTAAGCTTGACCTTGGATAGGTGTCTGAATTTCCTGAGGCTTTAATTTCCTGGCACTGAAGCAAACAGGTCCAATAAGATGATTTTAAGGCGCCTTCTAACTCTTGACCTTCCAGGTGACCAACAAGTGGAGAGCAGAGTTAGAGTATGGAGTGGATACTTGAAGGTTGGCATGGGGTGGCTGGGAAGGAGAGAATAAATATGGATTTGGGAAGGGGAAAAAGCACTGAAGACTAAGGTGCACTTTGCTGTCCCTCCAAAGGCTCGCTCTGCCCTCGCTAAGACGATGTCATCCATCACATGCTGGATGGTGTCCAGTTGATGCCTGTGCATCTGGGCCAGATTTTTCTTTCACTCATTCCTCCACATTTGTGCTCTGCCTTGTTCCTGGCCCTGATCAAGGCACGATGAAATTACTGGGCTGTAAACTGAGGTCATGGGTAGTGTCTTCTAAGTTGAGTAAGGCAGACGTTGCTTCTCATGGAGTTTTCAGTAGAGAGGAGAAGCAGATGTTTGAAAACAAAACTAAACTAAACTACCTCAATGAAGTATTATTGTGTACTAGTTGCTTTAAGACTATTTCAGTTACTTTCTACTCTTGGAAACTGGGGAAGGCTTCCCAGAGGAGGTGGGTCATTGACTGCCTGAATTATTTCCCAGGTCATTTTGCTCTAATTGATCCTAACAGAGCTGTTATAACACTGAAGTCTTCATAGAAGTTTTGCAGTGGTCTCTTTGGGTGCAAGCTTGAGTAGAGATTTAGTCTATGTGTAGTCTCTTTCTGGCTGTTGCTTCCAGGCAAGCTGTTGCCCTTGGATGCCCTGGAGGTATCTCTGGCCTCTTCTGTGCACACAAGAAAAGAGATCAGAATCTGAGCCTGACCCTTTAAAAGCTGCCTATATCCCTGGGCTACTCTTGGATCAGATCTGACTTTTGACATTTTCAGTTGCAAACAACAAAATTCCCATTTTTCTGTTGGAAACTCTTAAAGAGGGAGGAGAGAAAATGTTAGAAATTAAAAGAAAAAAAAAAGATCTGCTTGATATTTGGCTCTTTTTTTTTTTTTTTGGCTCTTCTAACTCTAGAAATAAGAGTGTCTGAATGGTAAACTGGCATTCTCTTTACTAGTTGTCTGTATCCTTTATATAATATTTATGACTTCCTCTTCCTCTAAAATTTGACAGTCATCCTTTATACCATCTTCATCAGTGAACCTTAATCTTAAATACAGTCGTCCCTCAGTATTCAAAAGGGACTGGTTCCAGGACCCCCATAGATACCAAAACCTATGGATGCTCAAGTTCCTGATATAAAATGGTTTTGTATTTGCATATAACCTACACACATCTTCTTGTGGACTTTAAATCATCTCTAGATTACTTATAATACCTAATCAATGTGGTTATACTGTATTGTTTAGGAAATGACAAGAAAAAATTTTGTGTATATTCTGGACTCATGCAACCATTCTTTTTTTTTCTGGAATATTTCCAATCCTTGGTTAGTTGAATCCACAGATGCAGAACCCAGAGATATGGAGAGTCTACTGTATAGCTGGCTAAAATTACTTCAAAGATAGTGCTGGCAGGGCGTGGTGGCTCATGCCTGTAATCCCAACACTTTGGGAGGCTGAGCCGGTAGGACTGCTTGAGACCAGGAGTTTGAGACCAACCCGGGCAACAACAACAACAAAAACAACAACAACAACAAAGACAGTGCTGAGAGCAGAGTTATACCAACTGTGAGTGAGGGAAGAGTGGGCAGGTTTAGATCTTCCAACATCCGACCTCTGAACTGAATGCCATTTCTCCCTAGGAGACATTTTTTGGTTCGTTTTTTGTTTTTTTATGGGTTTTTTTTTTAGTTGGAGTCTCACTCTTGTCGCCCAGACTAGAGTGCAGTGGCACACTCGTGGCCATCACAGCCTCGATATGCTGGGCTTAGGCGATCCCTCGCTCAGCCTTCGTAGGAGACATTTCATTTTTGAGCTGCAAAACTTTAAGATAAAAGCTCGAATATTATCATCCCTTGCTGTTTTAACAAACCACAGAGTACTACTAGTTTTTGCCTGATTTTTCGTAAGGGATAAGACATTATCTGCAAAGGTGGAAGATATAGTCTCTGCAGAAGCGTGTCTTTTTGTTGGAATGTGTCAGAGATCCAAAGAGAAAGTTGGGGAAGAGGAGTGTTCATTTCCAAAATATATTACATCTTATTTCTCAACTATATTCCCTGGGGCTGCCAAACAGAAACTCATAGAAATTAGAATATCTTGATTTGTACCATAAAATAGTGTCCAGAAAGCCAGACAATGCAGCAGAGCTTGGTGACATGTTTTTGGCTTCCTTAGTCTCCTTGAGGTTACAGCAAAAGCCCTGGGGAGGACTTCTCAGCTGGGTTCTGAAGAATCCAGGAGAGAAGCGTCTCCTGGGAGCCATTTCGTCCTGGAAAGAGAATGCAAAGGCAGAAGAGGAGGTGGTCTTTAGGGAGCCTTGGGGAGTTAGATGTGACTGAAGAGGGTAGGGTTGGGGGAAGGGGTCACAAAGAACACAGCATTCCCCATTATGGACAAACACAGAGCTGTGTTTTCAAAAGCTCCTTGGGGCAGCCAGCAGGGAGCTGCATTGAGGAGACTCCTGGAGTCCCAACAACATGGCTGCTCTCCCAACCTCCCTGACCCTTTTCTGTGCAATTGCCCCGTGAGCCTCTCCCAAATTTGTTGAACAAATAGTTTTATTGAAAATAGTTGAATAGTTTTATTTAAAGAGGATCTTTCTTGGAGTTTCTCCAAGGGTAGTCCTGAGAATTTGCAGGGGAATCTCCTGGAGTCTGTACTCTTCTTAAACTCCTGGGAGGCTCTTTTGCACACCAATCTATAAGAACCTCCTGGAGGCTGGTTTCTAGGTGGGCCTCCCTGCCTCCATTTCCACTCTTGAGAACGGTCAGCTCTTCAAGTCCTGAGTCACATGGTAAATTCTGTGTGTAGATGCATGGTCTTAAACATGAATACCAAAGACATTTCCATGCTGACGGAGGAGGATGTAATAGGATTTTTTTTCTTTTGCTCAACTGTATTTTTTATTTTTCTACAAGGAACGTGCAGTACTTGTATAATAAGAAAAATGTTAAATATATGTAATGAGCACCCCGTATTTGCAAGCACTGGATGAGCTCACGGAAGAAGTGAGTTGCCTGAAAAGGGTTACATGTTGCAGGGAAGTGAGGTTGTTTTCAGCAGGAAAGAGAGACCTTGTAACAACAGGAAGCACTAGGAGGCCTTGGTACCAAGGCTTCCAAGCAAAGCGGTTCTGGAAACAATGGCTGCCTGTGGTTTGGGAATATTGGGCAGGAAATGAAAGGACGCTGGGGTGGGGGCTGGGTGCCATGAGGAACTGATAAGCACTACCTGGCTGTTCTTCACATCCACGAAGCTGGCCTATGATGAAGTGGTTTCTAACTGCTCCCCACCTCCCATCAGCACAATTGGTTTTAGAAAAATACAGAAATGAGAAGAACCCATAGAGCCATAGGTCTGGAAACCATTAGGAAGCTGGCCGGCCCGGGAAACCAGAGGGCACAGTAAGCAAGAGAAGGATTTCTCATTCTTAGGGCATGGTCGCGTCAGTTGGGGTGGGACTTTCAGATGCACTAGGCACCATGTACAGCGAAGTCCCCAGAGGACTTTGGCTTCCATGAAAATGAAAATAGCCTTGGGGTTAATGAGAGTCCAGCCATACCAAAGGAGATATATATATATATATATATATATATATATATATATATATTATATATATATAAACCTCTTGAGAGTGAAGTTTATATGTTATTTAACAGAAATTTCCATTTATATGGGTGGAGTGAGTTGAGGATCATTACTAGTACAAATGAGAAATAACAAAACTAACAAACAAAAAATAACCCTAATGTTTTGTCCTGGAAGATCTCAGTGTAAACCAGAACTGGTAGGAGTGAGGACCTGAACAGTGATTGGGAGTGGAAATTAAATCTGCCTTTTTCTAGCTCAGTTTGTCTTTCCAGCTTCATCCAGGAAGTTGTCAGATCCTGGGAAGTCAGACCTGCAAGAAACATTAGCAGTCATCTGGATTCAGAACTTTGCTTCTTGAAGTCCTGATGAAAGTCTGAGGCTGGGAGTGGCTGATTTTCTCGAGGACACACAGCTGGTTCATGTTACTATAACTGTCACATACTCAACCCCTAGTTCTCAGTGCCTAATACCGCACACCTAGTTAGTACCTATCACCTGGCGCCACCTGTAAGACACCTTGGGGAATTCAAAGAGGAGATTTACTCTCCTCAAAAGTTCAGAACCGAATACCTATAGATTAGGATGAGAACCAAGGTTTCTTAATTCATT